CTTTGTTTAAAACTGTCAGTCTGCAATAGCTGAACCCAAACTTTGCTGTTCCTGATGAAGAAATGAAAACTTTTCCCAACAATTTAATTGAGCTCATACCAAGCATTATATCAACTCCGAAAAGTCGGAAATCCACTAAAATAACTTCGTCGCGTATTTTGGTATCAACCTCGACATTCACAGTCGATGATCCAATACATTGATGAACTTTACCTTCAAAAGTTTTTCACCTTTGGAGAGTTTAAACTTTTATTCTGATTTTTGGACAGAAAATTGTGATTCAAAATTTTCTTTTAGCATCCCATGTTCATCATAGCAGTTGCTACCATGCCATTAACTTTTAAACGAATAATACATAACGCGCTGATTCCATTTTTGTTCAGAAGCAAGGTTGCAGATCCCTCGCTCCTGCACTCGTTTCCCTGCATCTTTAAGCATCTTGAAGCTATATGTTCTTCGTTACCACATTTAAAACATCAAAAAATCATCTTCTAAGACAAGTTCTTTGCAAATAAACAGTTCTTCGCAAGGTGGTGTAACCCTTGGCATTTGTAACACACTACAGAATTTTTTGTAGCTTGATGTTGAGACACAGCGCAAATAGCATTACTGTCATATATCTTCACGCGGTTCAAAGCAGCTCTTACTTTGGGAAACATAATATAAATCGAGTCCTTTGTTACTCGAAATTGTGATGAAAAAAACTCGAGCAATCCCACAAAAAATCCCAAACGTACTGTATCTTCAGACAATTTTGTAAGAGAAGCCAATCGTTTCAAATCAGCCAAAAATGCATCAACTCTCTCTCTGTCATGTAACTTTTGTTTTTTGAAAAACTCATATGCACCGTATACATCCGATGAGAATGCTGCTAGCAGCACCTGCTCGAATTCCATTGCATCTTGCTTATCTTCAATGGTTAAAGCGTCATAAACCGAATACGCAGTTTTTCTAAGCACAATTGGAAAAAATAGCTCCAGCTTTTTATTCTGCATATCAGCAATTACTTTGGTTCTTTGCATCCACACCGCAGCATCTAAAGTTCCATCATACGTTTCAAACATATTGAATAATTTCATACTTGAATCCATGGCCCGGTAAGCTTTTAGTTTTCTCGCAGAAATATAACATTAAGTCTTTTCTTTACTCAATGAGAACTTGTCTCTTACAAAATTGTAATCATAATTTATACTAAATCACATACCTTAAGTATTATCATTACAACCCACACAAACATTTAAACCGTACAAACATATTAACAACAATTATCAAATATATACGAGCATTAGTTACAAACCACTTGACGGTACGGAACACTGTAACATTTAACTAAATATAATTACTATAGTCAGTACCAACAATATTGAATAGGCTGTTAATGCATTTACATAAATGCATTTACCATGTAGAATGTTTAAATACTTTGTTTGTTAATAAGGGATTGTCCATAAAGTACTTATGCTCGGAGGGGAAGAGGGGATCTGCAAATGGCGTATATGAATGGACGAAAAAAAAGCGTACGTACTTTATGGACAACCCCTAAATAAAACGGCTCAGAAAAGTCTAAGTGTAGTGAAAATAAACTAAAAAATTAACTAAACAAATAAAATAACTGCATATAAAGTAAAAGCTTATTTTAACAAAAAGTTGTAAGAAACATTTAAGAATACGTAAAATTTTTACGAAACCTTTTCAGAAAGGTTTATTTAAAAAATTACTTAAAGATTTTAAAACATTTAACAATATCTTTTAATTTTTTTATTATTTATTTATTTTTTCAACATTTTCACTTCCAACTAGGTTGCAAGCAACCACTATTAGAGTTGGAAGTTACTGGAAGAGAAAAGATGAAGTTTATAGAGAAAGATAATGATTGACAGACAACTTGAAAGATTTCAAATTATATAAATCAGGAAAACAAGATGAAGGAAGCGAATTCCAAAGAACTGATGTTTGAGGGAAAAAACTAGACGAATAATATTTTTTGGAGCACTAAGGAACAGTCTCAGTAAAAGGATAAGACTTAATTGAATAACGAGTAACACGAGAATCAACTTTAGTAGATGGCACAAGAGACTCTAGCTCTTTAGAGCAGTGCCCATTATAGTATTTATAGAAAAAAGAAAAAGAAGCAACATTACGACAATGCGATAATGGTTGGCTGCTAGAGCAGGTCCAACTATGTTTACAATGCGTTTTTGGACCTTGTCTAAAAGAGATATGGCATCATTGGAAGATCCGCCCTTGACATCGCAAAAGTATTTCATACAATGACGGATTTGAGATTTATAGAGAAAAAAAATAGAATTAGGAGAAAGAAAATAACGAGTATTTTTTGCACTGACTAGCTTTAAAAGATCTATTTTTCTTCATTTCTAAATATTTAACTAACAGTGCTGGATAAGTTTATCCAGCATTTGCACTAAGATCAGATAAGTTTATGTATGGAATTATAGCAGATAGTTATAACTATACTAGATATAGACAAAGTATAAGTAACACTTGCAATAAGTTTTGAAATGAGTCAAAAAACACTAGGAAGAACTATTTAAAAAATGTTTCGGATAAGTCGCAATGTTTTATGTAAAAAAGATATTTTTTAACGTCATCTTTGCAGCAATAACGGCATTAAATAATATCAGACTTCTACAAATGTTGGGGTTTTACTACAATTTGGTTTCTTCGCCTTTCCGCTTAAAGTGATTTAGTTTTACTATTACAACAAAAATATTTAAGTATTTTAATTTTAGCTACATGCTATGCAAAATATGAACTGCTTTTTGTCGATATGGGTTTCTCCGGGGGTTATTACAACGGCACTTTTTACAATAACAAAAAAGTTTGGAAATGAATTTTATATTTTTTGATGCACCTCAACAAGATGCATAAAATATAAAACTAAAATAAAAAACTAGGCGGGGGTTCATAGACACGACGTGTCTATGACACAACGTTCATAGATGCGTATTTAAGAACCCCTGCATAGTTTATGCAACTAGTTGAATAGTTTAAAGTACAACAGAAAAAATGTACTGGTTACTAAGCTCTAGGACGTGATAATGGACGATTAATGCATTGTTATAGATCATAGACGCTGCTAATAACTGAGATAAAAATCTATGCGGGTTTTGAATTTTAGCGTCTTTATTAAAAATATTTTATTAAATAAACCAATATTTAAAACTCAAAACACACATAGATTTCACAAATTTTGAGTAAACATTTTATTACCCGTAAACACTAATATTTGGAAAATATAAACGCATTTTATATAATTAACAATACCTCTTGGGTTTGAAAATTTTTTAGTTGATATGTGAGCTTTGTTTAATAAAAACTTATTTGTAAAACACTTTGACGTCAAAAAAAATGTTTTTGTAAAAATGAACGGTATTCTAAAATGAGTACTGTAAAGTAAAAAGAATTTTCTAAGAGTTCTATGTAATATCATAGATCAAAATAGAGACAGTTTGTAATCACTGCTCCCTACAATTAGATTCTACTAATCTCTTAAAGAATTAAATATGAAGATATTTTTTAATTTTTGTTATTTCAAAATGTTAAAGCAACTTCGCTTTGATATTTTCCAATAACTGAATTTTTTTCACAAGTAAAAAACTTTAGAGAGTTTCACAAGTAAAAAACTTTAGAGTAGAGTTCTCGTTTATTGATAATATAATTTAAAAACTTTTTGTTATGTAGTTATACAGAAAATATACCGGGGTTATTGAATATTTTTAATATATATATATATATATATATATATATATATATATATATATATATATATATATATATATATATATATATATATATATATATATATATATATATATATATATATATATATATATATATATATATATATATATATATGTATATATATATAAATATATATATATATATATATATATATATATATATATATATATATATATATATATATATATATATATATATATATATATATATATATATATATATATATATATATATAAAACATAGCAAATAACTTATATAGAATATTTTTATATATATAATATATAGAATATTTTTAAACAAAGTAGTTATATAATAATTACAATATTTTACATAACTTTTTTTTTTTAATTAAATATTTCAGACAATCGTCATTTTGTCGTAATATCAAATAAAAGTATTCCAACATGACGCAGCTATTGCCCATTGTTTTACTATTGTTATTCACAGCAATCGATAACGCGGAAAACTTTGTTTTTAAACTTGATAATCCTTGGTATTAAATACTTAAGTAAATTGAATTTACTAAATCGTAATTTATATTATATAATTATTACGTTTTAAAAGATAAACGTCAATAGTTATAGTCTGATTTTGTAATTTCTTTTTTTTTTAAATATACTTTTACTTATTTTCAATTGGTCAATATTGCAGAAGCAAACAATTCAATTGGACAATATTGCAGAAGCAAACAAAGAAGCTCAATATAATTCAACTTTTATTTCCGCCAAAAATCATAAGAATTTCCGCAAGCTATTTTTATTTTACATTGTTTGCGCATACTCAAAAACTTTTTGGGGCAAATATTTCTAAGAAAATCTAGATAGACGCTTGATTTGGGGATGCGCTTTCAATATGCTCTCTTACCCATTTTTGTATATATATGTTACCTTACTAAGATACCTTGCTTATTCAGATAAGAATATAAAGAACCGTATATTTGATGTAAAGAACCGTATATTTGATGATTGTTTTGTTTATAAAAACATCATTAGAAATGCGATAATAATGATAATAATAATAAAATAGTAATAAATATTAATAAATAGAAAATAATAGTTATAATAATTTTTATTTGTTATTGTTATTATAATAACAACAATTAATAATTATAATTTTAATTAAAAACTACAAATATAACAATAAAACGATGACAACATAACTAATAAAAATAAAATTTATTTAAAGAACTGAATTTTTTTTATAAGTATCAAATTTTTTATATAAATAAAGAAACTTACTTTTATTCCAATACTCATCATGATTTCGTTCTTAATGAACGAAAAATGACTCAAAACCACAAATTCAAAAAAACTTCCATTCACGAATTGCTTGAATGAAATTCATAATATTTTCTCTCCATCGTATGCGTTTTGAATGTTTAATGTAAAAGCAAATATAATAGTGGATAAAAATTATTTGTATATTTAATGCAGAATATATTATTAACATGAAGAATGGAAACTTTTCATAAAAGTAAATTTTGATTAATGTTATTTAATCAGCTTTGGCCTTTTCTACTTATTTGTGTGTTTCTAAGGAAACGCATTTTAATTTTTTTAAACGCACTTTAATTTTAATATTACAACCGGTAGACATACGCCAGAGCCAAAGTGCTTGGCCAAAAAAACGTTAACGGAGCCGTATTTTGTACTCCTACTTCAACGTTTTGACTTAAAAGTTTAAAATCTAAAGCGTCAAACTTAATGAGAAAGCCAAAAAAAGTTACTAGAACTTATTGCAGTTTTATTTTGGATTGTGAAATAATATTTAGTAAATTTCAACAGCGTGGAGCATATCTAAGGTAGCAGATTGTTATTGAACATCAATTGTAATTAAACTTTATTTGATATCAGTTAAACTTTTTTTTTTTTAATCAAAATATTTTGCTCAAAAAAAGGTAATCAGAGGATTAATTAGACATTAAAGTCGCCATTTAAAAATTTTTTCAAACATGATTAAAAAAGTTTCGCAAATGCTTTTATTTTTTCAGGGTTAGGAATACTATTAACTAGGGCTTCAATTATATGTTAAACTGTATACTTTAATAGATAATTATCTTTTTTGAAAATTATTGGTAAAATGAAGCACCCCGTAAAATATATTTAAAATGTAAACCAAACTTTCAATGAGATACACACTCCAGAAAGCACATAAAGGAAAACTTCCTAAAAAAGTATTTTAGTGTCGCAAAGCATATTTAAAAATAAAACACACGAAAAAAATACTTTCAAAGACTTTGTAACAAAAAAATAATAAAATTTTAATCATTATAAAAACCACCAGCAGAATAAGATTTTTTCGAAGAAGTAACATAATATTTTGCTGGTGGAAAGAAAACTATATATATGAACCTTTTTTTCAAAGCTCTCATCAAACTTCTTCTGCTAATACCTGCTGTTGAAGTCTTTTTTGTCATATTTACTTATTCAAATTGAGTTTTTTTTTATGGTACAAATAGCCATAATTTTATGATTTTTATCTTTGAAAAATTTCATATATCCTACTTACTTCATCATTAAACTCTAAAGCAATAAGCTAATGGAAGATTAATGGAATTGCTAATGGAAGATTCAACTTCCATTTTAGCTTTTTAATTTGATTTATTTCTTATTTTATTTAATCGCAACGTTGTTGATTAAAAAACCAACAATCAAACCCGTTGCTATGGCGGTTGCTAGAGAAAAACATTTAAAGAACTAAATTAAATTACAAGAAACAGAAATCTGCATTAAGATCGCGTAAAAAAAATTTGTTATGGTTCTTGAGAGGTTCTGCTACCTTAAGAAATAAAGAAACCCAGTTGGCACGGGACATAAAAAAGACGTCTTTGGAACGTCTTTAAAACATTTCGAACGTCTTTTGAGCGTTTTGGACTTCTTTTTTCGGTCCGGTGCCCACTGGGAATAAGCCCAAAAAAGTAAAAAACAAAGTAACAAATAAAAAATAAAATACTGCTATCTATATAACTCTATGAAACCAAAGAAGCATAATATAGGCGGAAGGAGAGCAAAGTAAAAACACACATTTCTGGTCAACTTTTAAGTGAGTAATTCACTTCGATTATAGCTTTTAAAGCTTACAAGCTACATTTCAAAAAAAAAATTTAACGCTTATTTAACTTGCCGTTGAAATAACTATACTACAAAGGCAATTTTAAACGGTTTTTGGCTTCGTTGTACCTCCAGCTAGTCTGTTATACTTCCTTGAAAAATTCTTAGCTTTTATCAATTGTTTCATTTTGTTTTCACTTATCATATATACAATATGACTGCACATGACGCTGACCTTTTTTTTTTCTTTGTAATTTTTTTGATAGGCTTTGCCAGTCTTTAATTCCTCTTGTTTGTTAGTTATCATTGAGTTTTTAACGAACAAGGTTCGCAATATACGGCATCTAATTTAGAAGAGTAACATTACACGTTCCATACTTCGTTGAAGTTTTATAAAATTCTTCTGTTTTATAAAACTCTGAAAACTGTGAAGCCCCTACAGCTCAGAGCCCCGCCGCATTGCAGGGTTTAGTGGTATGGCAGTTCCGCCGCTGATTGCTTTTGGTTAAACGATGTTACAGTATGTTAAGTAACTATGGATAAAAGACAACAATAAACTCTTTAGAGATTTAAATTTAAAAAATGGTTTAGCTTTACAAATCATTCCAATATCTTTTTTTTAGACTGTTGATATGAAAATTCCACCTTAAATTTCCATCATCATCATTGTAAGTTTTCGTCATCAACTCAATGCAGTTAGTGCAGTTGTTATCCATTTCACGGTGAAACTACTTGCAATGGCCGTATCTTGGAGGGATGCTTGGTAGAATAATATGCTTGCTGACTGAGTCAATATTGTTTTCAATTTTATATTTTTGGACGAGGTCGCCGCGTAAACTTCTGTCGTGTAGAGAGGTGAGGCCAAGTTTGATGCATCTTGTCTTGTAGTCGAAGCCCTTTAATTTGTGTGGTACATTGGTAGCCCGATGTTGGATGCGTTCTATGATGTCTATGTCTTTTTCAAGGTAAGGAGACCAGGTAGGGGGCGTATATAGGTGGTGTAAAGTTGTTTCTATACTTTAACATCTCTGCTAATGAATGTGTTTTTTAACATTCCAAGAACTTTATTAGCCTTGGCAGCGGCAACTTTTGCTTGCCTCTCATACTTTAAGTCGTTGAATATTTGAACTCCAAGGTTCTTTTTGCAGATTGATGATTCAAGTTCAGTTTTGGTGACATTACCGTTAGCGTCGTGCTCGTTCATTGAGTAAACGTTTTAAAAAGCATGACTATACATTTCTTGACGTTGAGCTCCATCAACCAAGTTTGAGTCCAGGTGATGATGCTATTCATATCAGATTGCAGACTAGCTTTTTCTTCAGCGGTTTTGACGATGCTAAAGATTTTGGTATCGTCTGCATACATTTTACACACGTTTTCGCTACTAATGTATTCTGGTAAGCCGTTAATAAATTTTTTATTGACGAAGCCGTGTTAGCAATTAGCAATAAGTTTATAAGATACAAGGTGCTGCATGATCTTTTATTTGACCTTTTTTCTATTATTTTGCATGGTACAGAGATCATGGAGATAGGCCTGTAGTTTTGTGGGTCAAGCCTGGAGCCTTTTTTGAATAGTGGCGTCACGTTTGCCGAAAGCCAGGCTTTTGGGACTACACCTTGATCCATCGATTTCTGAAAAATGATGGCAAGTGGGGTAGCCGCTGCATTGACATATGCTTTAAGCACAAATAGACTGATATGGTCACATCCAGTTGATTTATTGGCGTTGAGAGCAGATAGTCGTTTGTGAACGAAATCGTAGCTGAAAATGACGGAGGAGATTAAAGCGATTGTACGGTTGACAAAGGGAGGTAGTAGTTGACCTGTGATTCGATTTTGAATACTGACTGGAACTTGCGGTTAAGTATATTCGCAATGGATGCCTGGTTGCTGCTTATTTCACCAGAAGGTGAGTACATAGAAGTTATTTGGCTACTGACGACGCGTTTATTGTTCACATAGGCGTATAAACGCTTGGGGTTCCGTTAATAGATTGCTAAGTTGCGTTCGAATGCTCTAATGTCAATGCTGGAAGCTTTTTCGATAAGGTTTCGAATTAGGTTATACTCTTTAACAAGAAGGATAATTCGCCATTTACTTTTGCTGTTTAGGTACCAAAGCTTTTTCTTACGTTTAATTAGTAAGAGAAATTCGCTAGTTATCCAATTTGCCTGCATTTGGTTGGGGGTGGCATGGGGAATAAATTCTTCACAGCATTTGATATAGTTGTTGCAAAAGATTTAATAGCATTCGTCGGCATATCGTTTTTTAAATAGGCTGATCCAATCAACTTGGGAGAGTTTCTTGTTTAGATTCCTGTAATTACCTCTCCTGTATATAAATTTTGAGCTATTAAAACGGGTTTGGCTAGCTGGTGTTGCCGTAACAGAGTGTAGTGACCCTGTGAGGCACTACCAAGAGGAGGAACAATTGTGATGTGGCTTGTTCGCTCGGTCGCTTCTGTTATTACGAGGTCTAGTGTATTTTTGAACAGACCGTAAGCTTGGATGAAGGTAGGATTAATTACGTTCTAGTGTAGATGTAGGTCAAAAATCATTTTGGCAAATTTAGTGCCAAAACTAGTTTCAGCGGCGGTGGTATTGGTACATTTGTAATGCCATATGACTTCGGGAAAATTAGTCACCGGTGATTTAAAGATGTGGCGTTTGTGTAGAAGTAATTTAGTAACAGTTTAGAAGCATTTTTTTGTGAAGTGGGAGAAGACAAGCTATTGATTATATGGGAACGGTCAGGTGTTGTCGCAACTTCTCATTGGTTGGATTTGGTTGCAGAGAGTGTTTGTTTCCAGTTGATGAATGGGTGTTTTTTCAAGCTGTAATAATTGAAAGGATATTTTTTATGATTATTATATAATATAGATATATGAGTAACAAAAAATATATATATATATTCAGCTACTATATAGTTTGTTCGAAACGATTGACTTCCAATCAATATAATATTTTGTTATGGATACTAATTGATAGTGAGAAGACGAAAAATAGTGAGTAGGAATAAAAAAGTTAAAATATAAAACAAAACAAAACAAAAAAACAAAAAAAAACAACTAGAAAGAAAAAAAAAAGACTCAAAAACTTATGACAAAAAAAAAGCGTCTTATCTATTCAAAACCTTTGATGCGAAAAAAAAATAAAAATATGTTTTTTTGATTTATTATGAAAGTTTTTACTAATTTGAATGTGATGAACAAAAAAACTGACATACGGCTGGTTAGACTTTAAAAGTTAAATTTCTTAAAATTTATTTAAAAGTCTAAGCTCAAATTTTAAACATTTCTGTTATATGCATCAGCCCTATTTTATAATGCCATAATACTAT